AGTATCTGCTGCCTACAGGAAACGCATCTAACCCACAAAGATGCCTTCAGACTAAAGGTCAAGGGATGGAAAACTATCATCCAGGCAAATGGAAGTCAAAAGAAAGCAGGGGTAGCTATACTATTTTCAGATAACATAAGCTTTAAAACAGCAAAAGTAAAAAAAGACGAAGATGGTCACTATATATTGGTGAAAGGGAAGATTCAACAAGAAGAGTTTACAATCCTTAATATTTATGCACCCAATACACGAGCACCCAGTTACATAAAGCAAACCCTGTCTGTTCTTTCTGTTCTAAAGGACTACTTTCCATTTTTAACAGCTAGGAAAGTAATGCTAGTTAAAACCCTACTTATATGCCAAGCATTACCCATGTAAAAATCTTATAACATGTATAGTATTCATTCTGCTTTATAATTATGGAAAGTAAAGTTAAAGAAATAGGGGAAACTGGCCCAAAATCACACACTTAGTAAATGATAAGTGATGTTTAGAAAGGAAGAAAATCTGAGTTATAAATTTTTAGAAACTACCATTTACTAAGTGATTTTTCAGTTCCAGGCACTGACAAAATCACTTCATGTATTTCATTTAAGGTTCATGGTAAACCCATTAGGTAGGTATTATTCTAGCATTTTAGTCTAAGAATTTAAAGCCCACAAAGATTAAATAACTTGCTCAAGTCACACAGATTAAATGGCAGAATGACATTTAAACCTGGGTCTGACTTAAAAGTCCTTACTATGATGTATCTCAAACCTCACACATCTGAACATCACTCAGATGCCAAATATTTGTCATTAGAACCTCATCTCACTGAAAAAAAATTAACAGTTTTTTTCCTGGCATCCCCTGTCCCTCACCTTCAAGGTGACATGCACCTGTAGACATAAGCTTCTTCTATTAATAGCTCATGGCAGAAATGAAAGCCTGTATGTATATTTCTTTGAGTATGCCAAGTTTTTTAATATGCCAAAAGCATTATAGGATAATGGGATTTGGAGTTAGAGATCTTGATTCAAATGCTGGTTCTAAATCAGACTCCTTTGTGGTCTCAGAAAAGTTAACCACTCTGAGCCTCAGTTTTCATGCCTGTGACAAAAGGCACACCTGCCTCGGAGGGGCTGTCAGGACACAGGTGATGGCACAGGTGTTTGGCTGGTGGAAGGCAATATGATATCGGGCAGCAGTTCTCACAGTGTGGTCTGGGAATTTCCTGGGGTCCCTTAGACCCTTTAAGGTGGTCTATGGATTCAAAACTATTTTCATAATAATACTAAGACCTTATTTCCCCTTTACACAAGTTTTCAGTGTTGTACTCCACAGGCTACAGAACATGAGATTGAATGCAAAAGCTGTTAAGAGAATCCAGTTGTTTTGCACTAAGCTAAAGGAAAGCAGTGGCTTCCAGACTTCGCTCTGCATTGGAATCACCTAGAAATCTTTAAAAACTACTGACGCCCAGGTCTCACCACATTCTGACTTAATTGGTTTGTGGTGGTATATGGTTCATTGGGGTTTATGAAAGTTCCTCAGATGATTTGAATGTGCAGTAAAGTTCGGGAACCACTGCATTAAAGAGATTTGCAAAA